CCTTCTCTCTGGGGCTTCCCGTCTCTGGAAGTGGCTCCTGTTGCCAGGACACGGTGGCCTTCTGGGTTCTCCCAGCTGCAGCCCAGTGCTCCAGCCCCCTTGCAGACCCTCCGGTGTCTTGGCCCCCTTTGCAGTGTCCTGGGAGAAGCACCCCGGACGGCAGGCTGTCCTGAGCCCTCTGCTTCCTCCTCAGCTTTGGCCTTGGTGTCCCCACCCCCCGGAGGGGCTGGGGCAGGCCTCGACTTGTAGAATCTGTAGGCTGCAGTCACCAGGAGCAGGGCAGCGGCAGACAGCACCACCTTGCCCGTCAGCTGCATGTCCAAATGCCAGTCCTGGGCCTCTGCTCCTCTGGGGAGCATGCTTTTCCAGCCGACCTGGGGCTGAGGAATGTAAGGAATCTGATTAACGATTGCCTAATAGTGACCGGTTCCTGGATCCTGCCAAGCTGAGCAGGAGGGAGTTCTGGGCTGGCTCTGGCTAGCCAGCTGGGAAGTTGGAGCAAAGGGGACTTTGAGCTAACAGAGGGCAGCCACTGGGGCCCGGGGTTGGCAGATCTCAGCTCTGGCCTTCACTGGTGGTGGGGGTGGGGAGGCCTGCCCAGGGGCCGAGCTGGTGACCAGCCACCCGAGCCAGCTCTATGGCCAGCAGCTGGGGGATGTTAGGAGTGTCCAGCGGGTACACAAAGAGGGAGGAAGCTCTTAACCAAACAGTCACCCGATGCCAGGAAATGCACAGGGTTGGTTATTCTTTGTCTGGGTGCTTTATTTTCCCTTTTGCAAATCCACCAGACTTGGAGACTTGGGTGTGATGAGTCATGGGGCAGGTGGAGCCACAGTAGGTGGGGCTGGGATTGTTCCTGTTGAGGTCTGCTCATCCCCATGGTAGGGTTGGCACTTAGCTGGTCAAGCAGGGGACCTAGCAGGGGAGGCTGGAGCCAAGCCACGTGACCCAGCCCTTGAATGCCTCTGCCCTCCTTCCTTGCCTGACAAGTTTGCTGAGAGAAAGCAGCCTCGCTGAGCAGTCTGGAGAAACGCATTGTATTCGTACCCAGATTGGGGTTAAACATGGAACATGGGACATAT